CAATAAATGCTCCTAATACAGAGCATTTATTGCATCCTCCCCGAGAGGAGCACATTGTACCGTTGGCATCCCGATGACACAGCATTGATTGCTCGGGACCCCGAGCAGTTAAGAAGAGAAAACATTCCTCATCAGAATTAGTGCGCACACTGCCTGTACCTAATGATCACCTACTGACTACACTGACAGCAATCATGAGCTTTTGAGGTATAAATACTCCTTGCAAAAGGCAAGACGGGTATGCAACAAAAAACTCTTTACTACAATACACACTCAGTGTTTTCTCCTTCCTCTCTCTTTCTCAAAGACTGACTAGATAGTCAGAGGGGATACGCCGAAAAATACTCCGGCGCCCTTCTAACTTGTTCTTCTTTGTTCTAGGAACCTCTTTTAGCCTTACTGGATCGTTCTTCCGCTCCACAGGGTCTCCCGTTGCCGTTCCAGGTTACCACCGGACCTCGCAGGCTGTTCCAAGCAGCGGGATNTGTCGTATATAAAATAAAAATTATAGTAATACACAGAAGTAGGTAAATACTACGTAAATACACGTATCAAACAACAACATCAATCCAATTCTAAAAGCATTCACAAGCCATAACACATTCATACTACCTCTCATCGGGTAATCGATCCCATATGGATCCATGTTTCCTGAACCTCCCGGGAACACTACAGTGCTAGCACACCACTGCACGCCTAGTGATCAAGCATTGACGCTCATGTCTCAAACAGTGCACCACATTCCACAATACACAATACACAATGCACAATTCAAAGCATCATCCAATCACATAAGCACATAATCATAGAGAAATGCTATTAAATTATATCATCTAACATCATCTTATAATAACATTTTTAAAACATATAAAGATATACACCCACCTCAAAAATTCCAATCTACGACCCTTCAGTTTATTGGTGGATCCTTTCGGTGTTTTCGTAGCCGTATCTATTCCAATTGTCCTACCTGTTCCATCTAACACATCAATATTAACATGTTTATCTCATTGAATAATTAATCATGCACTAATGTATGCAAGATAATTCAACGCAATGTGTTCCGGTAACCCCAGTTACTGCATTATTCACTCACGTACTGACACATTAGATTTAGATATCATATTTCTTCCTCAAATCTTCAAAATCACTCATATTAATCACAATTAAGATTTAGTAGGTCAAACACATTGACCGGGCCCCATTTCTACACATTTCGACCCCGAATACCAAAAATTATACTTTCGACATTTTCGTAC